GCAGGATGCAGCGCACCCTTCATGCGACTCGCCGAATATCTCACGGCGCTTCGCGCCTGGTGATGTGAGAGCCTGGTCCGGTGAGAACCCGGCGTGCTCCGTCCCGGCTTTGTAGGGATGCGAGGTCAATGGTCTAACGACTACGGCATGCACAACTATGAGTACACCCCCCTATGAGTACACCCACATGGTTTATAATGTGAAGACAACAACAACAACAACCGCGCTTCCTGCATCTACACGATACCTTCATTGTTGTACCTTGATTGCTCCTGGAGACTGACGATGAACGCAAAGCATAGTCAGAACGTGCCTTTCGGGCGTTCAGCCCCGACTCTGCCGCACACCACACACAAACACACCTTTTGCTTCGCCGCTAGTTGGTGCTTCTTGCCTAGCAGCTCCGCTTCGGACAGCTGGGCCGGAAAATTCTTCAGAGGAGAAATGGTACGAAATCGAAAGACATGTCGTTTGGGGAGGGGGGGCAATGGGAATCTCTAGCACTTCAAGAGGCGGTTTTGTGTGGTTTCGCTGCTTATGCGGCGCCTGAACCAAGTAGTTAGTGCGCGTTCGGGCTGAAGAGAGGGAAAACAAGCACACAACATCCGGTGGCAACGAATTATGCTGTCCAACAATCCAGCAATAAAACTACAGACAAAAGGCAGAGAACTCTTGCGTGGATATGGCGTGGAGACCGAAAGTTGACCATACATGTGAGCACTTCACACCCTGGCAAATCTAACCAATAAATAAGTTAGTTGTGTGCCAGACAACTACCGGCTAGTTGCTCGTAAACACCTAGGTGCGCACGCTTCTAGAAGAGTAGTTGTCTACAGGCAACTAGGCGCGCACGCTCCTGGAAGAGTAGTTGTCTGCAGGCATTTAGGTGCGCACAAATCGGAACCTGTAAATTGTTGTCTGCAGGCAACTAGGTGCGGACGCTCCTGGAAGAGTAGTCGCCTTCAGGCTCAACTTTCTTATTCCACATTCCAGTCGACGTCCTATTACCTCTCTCCTACGTAGCCTTTGGACGTAACATTTACATACACGCATGCCGTGCCAGCAGTTCTTCTTCCTGGAATCTCGCCTATTATTGTCCGCTAATGATATTCATCTAAAATGGCCGTGCCCACCACGCTTGAGCGGTGGGCGAACGAGCTGTTTCAACTAGCAGGGTTCAACCGCAGTTAGTACGCTGGTCTCGCGCGATGGCACTATGTGCTACCGTGTTCGCAACCAGGTATTATGCCACACCGTGGGTAGGGTTGAGCATGTGCATCACGTGGTCCATCTAGTGCCGTCTACAGCAGTACTGGCTCGTTGGTCTACCCGTGGCTTGAAAACCAATCAATTTATGTTCAACTTTTAACACTTCAACTAATGACTACAGGAACCAAGTTAGTTGTTTGCCAGACAACTACCGGCTAGTTGTTCGTAAACACCTAGTTGCGCACGATTCTGGAAGAGGTAGTTGTAACTAGGTGCGCACGCTCCTGGAAAAGTGGTTGACTGCAGTCAACTAGGTGCTCACGCTCCTGGAAGAGTAGTCATCTGCAGGCAACTAGGTGCGCAGGCTCCTGGAAAAGTAGTTGTCTGCACGCAACTAGGTGTACACGCTCCTGGAAGAGTAGTTGTCTGGCAAACAACTACCAACTCAAGTGGTTGTACAGGGTGTGGAAGATTTACCTACCTCCTTGTCATTGCTCCGCGCTTCGTCAATGCCCTCCCAGTTCGTCACCCCTCCTGCTGCCGCCGCCACCGTGGTCGGGGTAATCGCCGCTGACGACGCGCCTTGCCTCACCGCGGGGCCAAAAGACGACGCTTCGGGGAGGTCGGCACTGCCGCCGCCTTCGCCGCCGCCGTTACAACTGCCGCCGCTGACGGTGCCGTCCGGTCCGGCAAGGTCCTCTCCTCCCAGTCTCGCTGCTGCCTGGCACACGCGGCGCTCCGACTCCTTCAAGCTCTTGCGCTTCGCCTTCAGGCGGGCCCTGGACACACCGCCCGCACGTTGGAGGGAGATAAGCAGGTGTGTGCGTGCATGCACACGAAGCGATTGGACACGTTTGTGAGAACCACCCTCTGCACGATGTGGAATAGTATGAAAAATCGCAGCAATAGAAAGAGAGAGGAGAATAACACCGCTGTGCACAACTGCGCAACTCCAAGCCAACTGCTCCACTCAACAAATCGTACAGGGTGTGCACACGGGGTAGCACACTCGCCGAACACTTCGATCGCTTGGTGTGACATCAGCACAGGTACGTACATAGCACCCTACCGCACGGCACACAACCTCGCACAATCGCAATCACACACGCACACAGCCAATCCACCCTAGAAATCCCTCCCCCAGCACTACATACTGATGTGGTGCTTACCCCCCATCCTAAACACCAATCCACGACACCCCACTCACCCCGTGTCTGCCGCAGTCGTCTTGGCGTCAGCAATCTCTTCCTCCAACTTGGAGGCCCTCTCCCCGGCCCCCTCTTCCCTTGCGTTAGCCTCTTTGAGGCGTGCGGTCAGCTCGTCACGACGTCGCTCCAGCTCTTCCACGCGGGAGACCTTGGAAGGAGCGGGGTGGGTGGGTGGGTGGGAGGGG